AAAGAGAGAGTAAATCTGTAACAGGTACTTTAAGTATGCCTCTGGAAAAGAGCAGTGAATTGAATTTATAAAGAAAAGAAAAGAAAGTCAATTTCCATTCACAAGCTAAAAATGTGGCTCCCTCCTCGGCGACTGCAGATCTTTGTATTCTATTCTCACTTCAGTTACTCAACTGACTAAAAGTACTGGTTTTACAACTACATCATCTAAAATGAAAGTTCACCCATCAAAAGGAACAGCAATGCAGCAATGATATTTTTAAGTTCTCAATTTAATCTCATAGTCAAACATACTCCCTCTTGGATATTTTTTTTAAACTGAAAGAAACATTGCAGGACAAATACATGATTCTGGTTGACAAATTAAGAAACCCTAATTTGAAGGATAGTTTTTAATGTAATACTAGTAATTTAAATTAAAATAAAGTCCACATGCATGTCAGATAATGAAAACCTATGCCTCTAAAATGATCTTCTCAGTTCTTTCATCTTTTCCCTCCCTGCAGCTTCCCCTCTCCTCCACATCACATAGCACATATTTCTGTCAATGCATTTCTACACTGTATTGTGGAAGTCACTAAAGATAGGGACCATATCTAACAGCACCACTGGTGAAATATATTCATGGTGTGCACAAACATACCTTTTTTAGCTTTTCAAAATATAAACTTTAAAGGTAAAGGGCACTCTAATTCCTGTGACAGTAGGATACACAGAAGAAAAAGCATGGACATCACCTTCCTTCTAAAACTACAATGAATTCCTCAATATTCTTTTATTTATTTATTTTTTATTTTTAAGAGATAGAGTCTCACTTTGTCACCCTCAGGAGTATGCCGTGGCATCACAGCTCACAGCAACCTTCAGCTCTTGGGCTTAGGCGATTCTCTTGCCTCAGCCTCCCAAGTAGGTGTGACTACACAGGCTGCCCACAACACAACGGCTGGCTATTTTTTGTTGCAGTTTGGCCATGGCTGGGTTTAAACCTGCCACTCTCAGTATATAGGGCTAGCACCCTACTCACTGGGCCACAGGTGCCACCCAAATTCCTCAACATTCTAATAAGGAAAAAGAAAGTCCATTAGGTTTCATTCATTCATTTTGGGAATTTAATAAGCTCATTCTGAAAATATTTATTTCCATAAAACTCAAAGCAATGTGAATGAAAGTAGAGCCAGGCCTCCCTGAAGAACAAGTTAATCTACATTCAAGTAATAAATTCCCTACTGGCTACCTTACTGGCTTTACAACACAGAAACCAGAACTACTCTGACCTACCACATACATACTTTTCCCTTCATTGTTTTCTTCAGTGACCACACAGTATATATTTTTCAATTTTTAAATGGAATTTTCAGAGTTAATCTGACACACTATTTACCTTTAAAAATTGATCCTTGATCATGTCAAACTTCTGCTTTTCATGCACAGCTCTGGCTGTATTTGTCCCATCAAACGGTTCTGCAATGTTAAATTCACATGTAATGAAAAAATTACTAAAATGAAGAGTTTGAGTTTCTTTTATTAGATTCATTCATATGAAATTGCAAATAGGTGACATTTTTGACCTGCTCTTTATTAGATTTATACATATAGAAAAGGTTTAATATACTATGAGCTATCTAATAACATAGAATTCAAGGGAGGGGATGGCTCAAAACAAAAGTCATTAGCATAGGTTATGTTAAATTTAAGACATAAAAGTGGAAAAGCTGGCTCAGTGCTTGTAGGTCAGCAGTTAGAGTGTCAGCCATAGACCCAGGCAGGCGGGTTCGAACCTGCCCAGGCCTGCTAAACAACAAAGCCAACTACAACAACAACAACAAAAAAAAATAGCCAGGCATTGTGGCAGGTGCCTGTATCCCAGCTACTAGGGAGACTGAGGCAAGAGAATTGCTTAGCCCAAGAGTTTGAGGTCGCTGTGAGCTGTGATGCCACAGTACTCTACTGAGGACGACATAGTGAGACTCTGTCTAAAAAAAAAGATGGAAAAACCTTTTGAAAAATTACACAGGATCAGGACCTACCCTTAGGGAAACAGAAATGTTAAAGAAAAAAAAGTTATCAAAAGGAATAAAGGCTCAGTACCCGTAGCACAGTGGGTCACGGCACCAGCCACATACACAGAGGTTGACAGGTTCGAACCCAGCCCGGGCCAGCTGAAACAACAGTGACAACCGCAACAAAAAATAGCTGGGCATTGTGGTGGGCGCCTGTAGTCCCAGCTACTTAGGAGGCTGAGGCAGGAGAATCACTTAGGCCCAAGAGTTGGAGGTTGCTGTGAGCTGTGACACCACCGCACTCTACCAAGGGAGACCATAGTGAGACTCTGTCTCAAAAAAAATAAAAAGGAATAAAGCACTATGTCTAAGAGAGGTGGTCAATGGCAAGTATCAGGGAATGATAATAGTAAAATTTAATTTTAATTTAAAAGCTAGGGTGCCAGCCACATACACCCGAGCTGACAGATTTGAACCCAGTCCAGGCCTGCCAAACAGCAATGACAACTACAAACGAAAAAATAGCCAGGTGTTGTGGCAGGTGCTTGTAGTCCCAGCTACTTGGGAGGCTGAGGCAAGAGAATCGCATAAGTCCAAGAGCTGGAGGTTGCTGTGATCTGTGATGCAACAGCACTCTACCAAGGGTGAGACAGTGAGAGATGGTCTCAAAAAATAAATAAATAAATAAATAAAAATAAAAGCTGATTTGTCCAGCAGGAAAAAGTATAATAACCATTAAAAGTGGAGGTTCAATATTGTACAGTGAATTGTTTAGATAAAGATACAGTGAAAACAGGAACCTGTATTAGAAATTTGGCACAGAAAGAAAAACAGAGAAAACAGGAATTTGAAAGCAAAGGAAGAGTCTGTGTGTGTCTCGAAAATATCTTCCTTCCATGTCTGCACCTCCATCTACTCACCCTTCACCCAAAAGTTAAAAAGTCTATAGAGAGAGACAAGAAGAAGCCAAAGAAACTACAGATAACAGTGAGTAGAAGAGGATAACTAAAGGTATTAGTAGTGAGATGGAATGATTAAAATAATGCCAGCAGTAGGTAAAAATTACTAGTGATTAAGAATTTTGATAGACAGGTGTGGTGGCTCATGCCTGTAATCCTAGCACGCTGGGAGGTGAGGCAGGCGGATTGTCTGAGCTCAAGAGTTTGGACCTGCTTGAGCAAGAGAGACCCTGTCTCTAAAAACAGCCAGGCATTGTGGCAAGCACCTATAGTCCCAGCTACTTGCGAGGCTGAGGCAAGAGGGTTGCTTGAGCCCAAGAGTTTGAGGTTGCTATGAGCTATGATGCCACCACACTCTACCCAGGGTGACAAAGTGAGACTTCCCCCACCCCACCCCCCAAAAAGCACTGAAAAGAAAGGAAAAAAAATACTTAGAAGACGCAATAGGATCAAATCAAGAATATCTTTTAAGGGCTCAGTGCCAACTGCTACAACCCAGACCGCCAAACAACAATGACGACTGCAACCAAAAAACAGCCGGGCTTTGTGGCAGGTGCCTATAGTCCCAACTACTTGAGAGGCGAAGGCAGGAGAATCACTTTAGCCCAGGAGTTGGAGGTTGCTATGAGCTGTGATGCCACAGCACTCTACCCAGGGCAATAGCTTAAGGCTCTGTCTCAAAAAAAAAAATAAAATAAAAAAAGATAAAAAAAACTTTTTTCTTTGCTGTGAACATTTTGTAAATAAAGGTACGCTATTAAAAAAAAGTCTTTTAAGGATAAGAATACTAACATATGTCTTAAAGGTGAAAGGGAGGGACTGAGAGAATAACAATGAAATTACTGAAAAGAAGAAAGGTTAACTATTGAGGGAAAGACCTGGAACAAGAGTGAAAGAACAGGAAATCTGATGGAGAGGTTAACTTTAGATCTGTTATATACCGTAAACATGCCCAAAAGTTTAAAAATTCCTTTTGCTTATTTATGTCTTAATTGTTGAGAAAAGCTTTTTTAAAAAGGAGTATATTACCACACGATGTCATTTTTTTTAAAATAAGGCCATGTGCCAAATTGTATCAAACTGCATCAGGCATAGCACTTCACAATAGCGTTTAATATTCAAAAAGAGTACAAGTAACTAAAGTAATACATAACCACTATGCAATTTATTAGCAAACCAAACACCCAAGCAGGAGATGTATTCATATTCACAAACTCTTAAGACATTGAATATAATCCAAGATTACTATATCCCAAATCTGATGTTTTTGACAAATGTTGATTCTCAGCTCTATCCCTTTTAACCTCAAGATTTACAAAGGTCTTCAATTTGGCCTCTATGAGATCATTTTGCCTCCTGAATTCTGTCTCCCACTCAAAGATATACTCAACTACATGTAAATTAATTTTAGACAAGAAAATTATCTTCAGATCATTTAATTTTTAAAATAAACAAGTTCTAATAAAAATCTAGGTTGCATTAACAATACTTTTAGTATGAAAGCTTATAAAAGAACTCATTTTATTTCAACATAAGAATCATCATATAAGGATTATATTTTCTTCCAAGTGTCAGTCATAAAATTAAGTTACAATTTACCACAAGTATGAGAGATGCATAAAGACTGCTTAAATCTCACCAACTAGGAAGGTTAAATGCCCAAATTTGTGTTTATTATTCCTCTCGACTAGACTTTTAAATGCCTTTTTAAAATTAAAATTGAGAAGACTTACAAATCACTTCAGAATATAAATGTACAAACGAAACACAACTCTGTAATAACTCAAGCACATCTCTCGGTACCATGATGATAACTGGATGTCAACACACAGTAGTCACAGGAAAACTACCTTCTACACAGATGTATTTATTTCTCCATTCAATACCATCAGGCCTCGGAATGGCTTTGGCTTCACGAACTGAAATCATTTGACTAGTCCAGCTATCAGGAAAAAAATGAACCATGTTAACCGTTTTTATAATTTCCCTTTTATTGTTATTGTATCAGTAGTAAGGCCCATGCTGATTTTTACAGATTTTCACATAGCACGCCAAAACCTGCCTCAACCTTCAGCACCACAATCCCTACTTCCCGTTTTTTTCTCCACAGCACTTATCTATTTTCCCCACTGTTCACCTACTTGCTTAGCACATGCCAGGTATTCAATATATAATTACTAAATCAAGTAGTAATGTGAAAAATAAGAAAGCGAAAAGAAACCAAAAACTGTAACAACTATGCTCACTGTTAATAGCAGTAAGAATTTATTTGCTAAGAGAGAGGTAATCTTTTTGTGCTGTTTTCCGGTATCATTAAATAATTTTTGTTCAGGTACATCTTTATTTGTACAATTTAGGAGAAAATTCTGAAATTTTCCAATAGAAGCAAGTAGATTTTTTAGGAAAATAAAATTAGCACTCTATGAAAATATACTTTTATTGCTGTGTGTCAGGTACAGCTGTTAATGAATAAAAGAACTTGTTGTTTTAATAAAACAACTTCTTCAGCAGTCCTGAAGATATATTGTCCAGTCTTTAATAATACTGATGCTATCTTTTTGTTTTCTTTTTTCCCATTCACCACTAATCAGCAGGCATATATTTTGTTTTTTAAAGTTTTTTCAATTTTTTTGTATTTCTAAGTTATTACAGTATCTTCTTCTTTTCCAAGAAACATTCTAAAACATACATGACCACTCAGCTTGTATATGAGAGAATTAAATTGATGAATAGCTGATACCTTTTCAGCAGTATTTAGCTTTCTCTATCATTTCCTCAAGCAGGTAAGAGAAAGGCTATGGCTAAAGAGCTCTGAACACCAACATTCTACTTTCTCTAGTTATCAGAGAGTCTCTCTGAGAATAGAATCCTGGGTCCAGTTTGGCAGTTGCTTCTGGAAGTGTGCCTAATTTCTCCATATCAAATATGCAAAAACAATGCTGCAACTTTTGAAATCTGAGTATCATAAAGCATACACGACGTGGGATTGTTATTTTTGTTCTAGTCAAGAGTAGTTTTTAAATACTTTATTGTAGTTCCCTTAGTGTGGACTCCAAACAGAAAAGGGGCACCCTGCTCTAGATTCTAAAATTTTCTTAAATGTAATGATGCAAAGGGGGAAGTTATGTAACCATATATCTGAACCAAAGTTACAGTACTGAATTTTTGTATTACTTTATCAGTTAAGTCAAATTTTACTAACAAAATGAACTCTTCCCTGAGTCCATTTTTTTTTAATATCAGATAAGACAATCAAGTCTGCAGAATTAAAACTGTAAATATTATTTTTAAAGGCATACATTATTTTCCAGAAGAGTCCACGCATGGAGGCTCACGTCTGTAATCCTAGCACTCTGGAAGGTTGAGGCGGGTGGATTGCCTGAGCTCAGGAGTTGGTCCCCATCTCTTTTTATCATACTAACCTATTTTCAAAACTACTTGAGCAAGAGTGAGACCCCAGCTCTAAAAAGACCCAGCTGCTGTGGTGGCCTCCTGAAGTCCCAGGTTCTTGGGGAAGCTGAGGCAAGAGGATCGCTTGAGCTCAACCAAGAGTTTGAGGTTGCTATGAGCTCTGATGTCACAGCACTCTACCAAAGGCAATAGAGTGAGACTCTTATCTCAAAAAAAGTTTGGAATATTAAACTACAACTTTTGTTTCCTTAAATCAAAGGCACAATATCTTCACCACTGTATTTCTATTAAAACAAATCTAGGGCTGAACGTGCCCACTTTCCTCTGATCTCGGAAGCTAAGCAGGCCTTGTTAGTACTTGGATGGGAGACCGCCTGGGAATACGGGTGCTGTAGGCTTTTAAGAAAGGGAAAAAAAAGAAATTGAAAAAAAACAAAACTAATCTTGGGGCAGCACCCATAGTTCAGTGGGAGGACACTGGTCACATACACTGAGGCTGAAGGGTTGGAAACCAGCCTGGGCTGGCTAAAACAATAATGACAATTACAACAAAAAAATACAGGACGTGGTGGGGGGCGCCTGTAGTTCCAGTTACTTGGGAGGCTGAAGCAAGAGAATCACTTAAACCCAAGAACTGGAGGTCGCTGTGAGCTGTAATGCCATTGTACTCTACTCAGGGCAAAAGCTTGAGACTCTATCTCCAAAAAAAAACCAAACTAATCTTGAATTTACATTACATTCCACTACTTGGTTCTAAACTGGGTCAAAGATGGATTAAAAAACTGTGGTATATGTATACCATGGAATTTTAGTCAGCCATGATGGAGACTTTTTTTCTTCTCTTGTGTGAATGTGTGTAAGTTCATCTACTGGCTTCATATTAGTAATAAATACATTGGATACTTGCTTTTCCATTCTTGTGATACTTTACTAAAGAGAATATTCTCCAACTCTATTCAGTTTAATACAAAAGATATAAACTCAGTTTAATTCAAGATGGGGTAGTGGGGAGGAAGCAGTGGGGAGAGGGGAAGGGGACTGGTGTGCCCTCACCTAAAGGGCACAATGTAAGGCTATATGGCACACCTTCTGAGAGAGGGACACAACTACGACAGGGACCTTACCTAACAAATGCAAACATTGTAATCTAATGGTTTATACCCTCATATTAAACTGAAGTAAAAAAGAAATAAATAAACTGGGTCAAAGAAACATTATATGATATACGTATATTTATTTTATTGAACATCTCATACCACATATCATTTAAGCTTCAAGCTATAATCAACTCAGGTAGTGTGGTTATTAAAATCACTGCATCATTGGAGGAACTTCAAAAAGAAAACGGAATATTTTAAATCACTACCATTTAGACTAATTCAACCCACTGCATTTTCAAAGAACTTTTAAATATTTCCAAATTAACAAAAATTTCTAGTCATGAGGGCTGGATGCAGTGGCTCACACTTGTAATCAATCCTAGCACTCCAGGAGGCTGAGGCAGGAGAATCACTTGAGGTCAGGAGTTCAAAACTGCCTGAGCAAGAGCAAGACCCTCCCCCTGCCAAAAATGGGAAAAATCAGCTGCATGTGGTAGTTCATGCCTATAGTCCTAGCTATTCAGAAGGCTAAGACAGGAGGATCATCTAAACCCAGGAGTCTGAGGTTGCAAAGCGATGATGCCACTGCACTATACCCACAGCAACATAATGAGACGCTGTTTCAATTAAAAAAAAAAAAAAAAGACATACAACTTACATACTTCTTTTACTCTTACAGGTGTGTTTAAATGAAGAATTTAGGTCATAATATATAAATGTCTTCTCTAACTATTTCAAGCTTTAAAACACACAGACCATAAACTAAACTCTTTATCATACCTTTTATTTTAATTTCAAAATATCACTGGGGTACAAATGTTTTTTTTGGTTACCTGTATCAATTTTGTTATGTTTGAGTCAGGGCTGTAAGTGTACCCATCTCTATTTGTTTGCCATCTGAAAATCTATTATTGTCACTCAATAAAGCACAGGGGCCAGGCATGGTGGTTCAAGCCAGTAATCCAAGCTCTCTGGGAGGCGAAGGAGGGTGGACTGCTTGAGCTAAGGAGTTCGACAAGAAAAACTAGCTGACTGGGCAGCGCCTGTGGCTCAAGGAGTAGGGCGCCGGCCCCATATTAGGGGGGGAGGTTCCAGACCAGCCCTGGCCAAAACTGGAAAAAAAAAAAAAAAAAAAAAAGAAGAACAACTAGCTGAGCGTCATGGAATAGCCAAGCATCACAGCTATAGTCTCAGTTACTCAAGAGCCTGCGGCAAAAGGATCACTTGAGCCCAAGAGTTTGAGGCTGTGAGCTATGATGATATCATTGCACTCTACTTAGGGCAACAGACTGAGACTGTCTCAAAAACAAAAATTTAAATTAAAAAAAGAAATTAAAGTTATAGGGTAGGCACAGTGGCTCATGCCTGCAACCCAGCACTTAGAAAGGCCAAGGCAAGGGAATTACTTGAGGTCAGGAATTTGCAACCAGCCTGGGCAACATAGTAAAACCTGCTCTCTACAAAAAATAAAAATATTTAGCCAAGCTGGTGGCATGCACCTATAGTCTCAGCTATAAGAAAGGGTAAGGTGGGAAAATTACTTGAGCCCAGGAGCTTGAGGCTACTGTGAGCTATGATCATGCCACTACACTCTAGCTCAGGTAACACAGCAAAACTCCAACTTTTAAAAAAAAGCAGCAAAATAAAAAAATAAAAATGGGGCGGAGCCTGTGGCTCAAAGGAGTAGGGCACTGGCCCCATATTCCAGAGGTGGTGGGTTTAAACCCAGCCCCAGCCAAAAATGCAAAAATAAATAAATAAAAATAAAAAAATAAAATGTAGGCTGGGTGCCCATAAGTCAATGGTTGGAGTGCCAGACAGGTTTGAACCCAGTCAGAGCCTGCTGAACAACAACAATAAAAAAACAAATAAATAAAATGTAAAAATAAGATAGTCTATAGAAGAGAGATGTTTCAGAAACAATAGATATTAGGTTTAATTCAATCTAAAATGGACTTAATATACAGGTGGCCATAAAGTTCACATGCAATTGCACATGAACTTATGGCCACCCTGTATGATAATCTTTTGGAAAAAACTGAGATTACCAATTAAATAGTTAGGTCCATGATCTTTTCTTTAGTAGTAATAATTGACACGCATCAATTAACTCTCTCCTAGCTTTTTTTTTTTTGTGACCAATAGAAAGTATTTTGAGATAATTAGTTAAATTGGAAAAAAATTAAACTGGACATGGAATTATAAAGAAAAATTTAAGCCCAACAAAGTCAAAATTATGAATCTGACACCAAATGGCTATATATATTAAGATTAGCAATGCTGACTCAAGTCATTACAAAAGTAATCCATGTAACCAAAAATGTTTGTTCCCTATAATATTCTGAAATGAAAAAAGTTTAAAAACAGATTTACATTAAGTTAATAAATGTATACAGTTTTATTATTAAGGGGTGGGAAGCAAATAAAATTT